ACACAATGAAGGAAGCTTGAGACGCTGTTTGGTTAGCATTCTTATGTGATCTGCGTTTCATCTAATGGGATGAGACTAGCATCTTGAAATATGTGGTGCTAAACCCTTGGCTACACACTGCACAAAAATGTTGCAAAAAGCGTAATGGTGTCAGCTGCAGCCATGTTAGATCTTCTTCAGAACTTTCCTGAGTTTGTATGAAATTTAAATTGCACTAAATCCTACCTGAAATACCCATTACTGTGCTATTGTTATTGCCAGTGCTGTGCTCTTTTAACAACGTAACTTGAATTTGCTGAAGGATTGGTGCAAAGATCAGAAAAAGTGCTTAACTACAAAGGGCTTAAAAAACAGTGGAGACTCATGGGCTGCTCTATTTCCTGTTGGGACCATCCCTTAAGCCTCTTTTACGATCCAGTATTTATCTGTAAGTTACACAAGAATTCATCCAAGCCCTCTGGGAATCGCAAAGCTTAGGATATCTAGTCTTACTGTATTTACTACTGTTATATAAAAGGATAATTTTATTTCATACTTCAAAATGTTTTTATTGAGTTTGTATTCTAACTTTCGTATTTTTTTGACATTTATTTATTTTTGAGAGAGAGAGAGAAAGAGAGAGAGAGCAGGTGGGGGAGGTCCAGAAAGAGAAGGAGACACAGAATCAGAAGCAGGTTCCAGGCTCCAAGCTGTCAGCACAGAGCCTGATGCAGGGCTCAAACCCACAAACTGTGAGATCATGACCTGAGCCGAAGTCGGATGCTTAACTAAGCCACCCAAGCGCCTCCTAACTTCTGTATTTTTATCCTAGGGTTATGATCTATGTTTATGATTCTACTGTTGGTTTCATTTTTTTCATCTCTCAAAAACAATCACCACTTTGTTCATTTCTTAAGGGTTATGATACTAACACAGGTAAATAAGGAGCGTATGGTTATGATACAATATTCTTGGCAAAAAAGTGGCCAAATGGAAATATTTCAATGCTATGTTAGGTGGAAAAAATTAAAAATATAGAGTATGATACCATTTTTGTTTAAACGTCTTTCTATACTTCCATGGAGTCTGAAAGGAGGTATGCCAAAATAATAACAATTTAAGGTGTCGTTTGCAAATTCTGCATAAGATCCCACCGCTTCCTAAAATGGCTCAGAGAATCAACTAGAGTTATAAATAGCTTTTTAGAGGAAGCTATTTCCAACATAAGTTAAAATTCTGTTCTTTGTAATAACATTGTCTTAATCGACTGTACGAATGCCACCTTCTGGAAACAAGGAGTATTTCACCCTAAAAGACTGCTAGAACAATAGCATTTTGTCATAAGGCTGAAATTGGAAATGTTTATAGAAAAAATATTTTTAAATTTAATACTTAATTTTGAACCTTGAAGATCACAATCAAGTTTTGTTAGAAGAGGGGCTGATTCAATATAATCAAAGATGTAGATTATATACATATCCTCAATAATGTGGCCAAGCAAAAGATTATTTTTAAAACACCGGAATGGCATCCAAAAGTAAGCATTAAGGAGAAAGAAAAATGTAAACAAATACTGTAGCCATTGAATAGCTCAAAAAATGATGAAAAACTTCATTCCTGTTTGATTTTCCTCTAGAGTTAATACAAAAAAATGAAATATTGTCTTTCTTTTGAAATAATGTCTATATCTAGACATGAACTCAACTGGATCTATGAGTCAATGTAGATATGTCTAAAAAATTACCAAAGTAAAAAATTAAAATAATGTTGTAGATTTACATCTGTAGTGTGATAACATACCTATGCACAGACAAACAAAGTAACACGGTACCTAGAAATGTATACAGAAATGTAGAATGTTTGCAAGTGTATCTAGAATGATTAACTTTGGGGAAGTGGAAGAGAGGACCAGTTAGATGACAAAGACTTACATGTAAGTTTATATGGGAAACTTATGTGTATGTAATATTCTATTTTTAAAAAAGAGAATGTATTTAACTTGTATAATTTACTGCTAATTGGAAATACAAAATAAAATGAACTCTTGCTGAGAAGTAAAACAAGAGAATCCTGTTATATAGGTACAGCTGTCAATATTTTGTGCTATAGCAGATGCAATGTATGTTTCTTACGTATATTGTATGTGAACCATACAGTCTAACTGTATTGCAATCCTGTGTGTGTGTGTGTGTGTGTGTGTGTGTGTGTGTGTGTTCAAACACAGAATAAAATATCTAGGAAGTGCACAGCTCTAATTTGTAAGGTGCTTTCACTTACGGTGTCCTCATGGATAACATAGATTTAGTCTCAGTTAATTCTTTGGCATTAATAATTTAAAAATATTAATGATTGTGACCTATAGAAATGAGGTCCCCTGGTAGAAGTAAAGATTCTTTCTAGAGCAGCCAAAGGCCTATCTCAAGGGACCCTTTGAGAGTTTTGCTGATTCCATGTTTGCATCAATTCATTTTCAATATTGAGTGCCTATGATAATACCTGTGGTCTAAATGTGGAACAATTGGGTACATGGTAATATTGGAGGGATTGGTAACATAGAGTCAATTCTATAGTATATGAGAGCCTGGGCCCAGGAATCAGACTCATTTGGGTTTCAATTCCCATTGCACCACTCACAGCTGTGAGATACTGTGCCTGCCATGGGAATATAGAATGCCTACTTTAAAGAGCTGTCAAGGGGTGCCTGGGTGGTTCAGTTGGTTAAGCATCTGACTTTGGCTCAGGTCATGATCTCATGGTTCGTGGGTTCGAGCCCTGCGTTGGGCTCTGTGCTGACAGCTCAGAGACTGGACCCTGCTTTGGATTCTGTGTCTCCCTCTCTCTCTGCTCGGGGGGGGGGGGGGGGGGGGGGGGGGGGGGGGGGGGGGGGGGGG